ATCTTGAAAGACTCATGATAATAAAATAAAAGAAGCTATGAATCAATTAAAGACAAAATAATCATGTCTTATTAAAGTTCTTCTTAGTAAACCAAACTCAATATCTAATGTATATACAGGGTGAGTCGGGAGGAGCGCATCAAACTCTAGGAGTATATTATACACGTGAAAATAATATAAAAAAACTTATATGTTCTTATCCGATTTTCATTTGTTTTCAAGTTATGGCGTAATTAAAAATGTTCATCTAGCTTTCCACTTCTGAATTTTAACACTATCAAAGTATGCCATATGTTCAAGGCCCAAAGGCATTTGGTAATTCTGACGTTTTGATGAACTGTCAGTGTACAGTGAACAGTAACTGAACGTTTAATTTCGAATTTATGTGATTGTTAGTGTTGCAAAATGCCAGATACTTATTCAAATTTAGAATATGCAAATATGGTGTTTGTTTATGATTTCTGTAATGGAAATGCTACAGCTGCTGCTGAAGAATATCGTCAACGTTTTCCACACCGAAGACATCCTGATAAAAACGTATTTTTTTTGTGTGTCATCGGCTTCAACTGCTAAGGTTATTTCGCTTCGTGTTCTGTGTAGGCTTTGTTAGTTTCCCAGCGCCACTTTAGGAACAACACTGTTAATTAGAACCCAACAGTGAATGGTCGAGTGGGGAATCCCACCAAGGCATCAGAATTAATTTTAAATAATTAAATTAAATGAAAAAATTCCGGCCAACGGTGGGATTCGAACCTGGGACCCTTGGATCCACAGGTAGAGGCTCTACCACTGAGCCAGCCACCCCCTCAAAAAAACGTATTTATTAGAGTTTTCAACAAATTGTGCGAGACTGGTAAGCTTCCCAGTGCTTTAACATCTGAACGCGCTACTCGACAAGGTTTAGTAGAAGTAGAAAATATTCTGCATCTAGTAGAAGAAGATGCAACTACTAGCTCTCGGAGAATTACCACTCAATTGGGAATTCCACAAAAAAGAGTGATAAACACACTCCACGAGCAAGGCTTATATCCTTATCACGTACAGAGAGTACAGCACCTACAACCACAGGAATACGCTAACCTTATGGAGTTTTGTCGGTGGATAAATAATAATCATCGTGTTGTATCGAGTATACTCTTTACGGATGAAGCTACATTCACCCGTCGAAAGCAATTTTCAACATCGGTTTTCTGTAAACGTGTGGTGTGGTATGGTTGACAGTTATTTAATTGGCCCTTTCATTTTGGAGAATCGTCTTACAGAAGACAACTACCTCAATTTTTTACAAAATGAATTACAAGGCCTGCTAGAGGATGTTCCTGTAAATATTAGAATGCAGATGTACTATCAGCACGATGAAGCTCCTGCACATGTCGCTCTTCAGGTCAAGCAACATTTGGACGAACGTTTTCCAGGGTGTTGGATTGGTCGTGGAGGTCCTATTAATTGGCCTGCAAGATCTCCAGACCTCACACCATTAGATTTTTGTTTATGGGGCTGGATGAAAAATGACATCTACAAAATAAAAGCGGACACACGGGATGCACTAATTAGACGAATTGAGAATACTGCAGCCCATTTTAAAGAAGAAAGAAATGAATCAATTAGGAGAGTAACAAACTCTCTTCGTAGACGAAGCAGAAAATGTTTAGAAGTCAATGGCAGTATTTTTGAACATTTATTGAAAGAACGCTATGATTAAGAGAATTTTTATGTGTAAATTTGTTTATTTGTTAATATGCTATAACTTGAAAACAAATGAAAATCGGATAAGAACATATGAGTTTTTTTACATTATTTTCACGTGTGTAATATACTCCTAGAGTTTGGTGCGCTCCTCCCGACTCACCCTGTATATTTCTAAAATTTCGTCTTCATCTGAATTTATTTTGCAAATCACAACACAGACAAAATAGCTTTTGTAACCTAGATTTTGTTAATCGCGTTAAATTTTTAAGCGCTTATTCTTGAGAGATCATTTTAAACTGTAGCTTAGGTTAAGTAAACTTAATTCACATGACGGTGGAAACAAAATTATATTTAAATCAGAGATTATTAATTCAAGCTTCGTTTAACACAACGGTGGAATCGGCCCTAATTTAAAGAAATATTTAGGTAATTTTCAAATCCTTTTTTGTTTTATCATATTTTTTATATATTATAATGATGAACAGTATAACTTTTTTTATAATATTTTACCTCCATAGCTTCAAATGTTTGATCCCAGTTAATTAATTTTAGTACCATATCTTCATCAATATAAATCATCTTGTTTGTTTTGTGAGATTCTACTCGTATGTTATCAACTCATTCACAGCTCACAGTGAACTGTGGAACTGATTCTGATTACTTTTACTTGATAATTCTTTCGAGTTCGAATCCAACAGAAAGTTCAAGTATTGTTAGAAACATTTTATCCGTGTCAATAACCGCATACCTTCAGTGATAAAAATATATATATATACAAAACCAACGGATGTTAATAAAATTATTTCTACAGTTTTACCTTTTACAATCATTTATCATCAATAACTATCAATAAGACGTTGTTCAAAGCAATATTATCATTTCTTGCGGTTACATATTCTGTAAAAACTTAACATATTGTTAGAATAAGTTGTTTAATATCTACGATGTATTATAAGACAAAAATATATACAGGGTAATATCTATCTAAAAGTATACAGAGTGTAATAACAAAATTAATTATAACTAGGCTAGGACCCGGTTTGTCAGGTTACAGCGCCAAAAATATAATGCGATTCTAAATATCGTTTTTTATTTAAAGAGTAGTACAATTTAATGACTTTATTTAATGAAATCTAACATCAGACATCAGACTGAATGTAAAACTTCTGGGCACCTCAGCAGTTTCTATGACATACTTCGTTGCATTGGGTAAGCAAACTAAATATATTAACAAACTATTTATTACAAAAATATGATACGTAAAAACTATCTACATATAAAATTAAATTTAACAGAAAAAAAATTACAAGCTAATTTTGAATGGCCAAATGGACTATACAAATATTAATTTATTAATAAAAAAAAGTTAAATACTAATTAATCTTGACGATAAGCTGATGCGGGCATAGGTGTGCCTAATAAATAATTACAAAAAAAAATGTATTATACCATATTTTTTCGACATCTGAAATATTTTATTTGTTACTCAAACCAACCAAAAATCCTGGATCCACCGCTGACTGATAATAAGATCTAAATTTTCAATTAATTTTTTTAATAAATATCAAAAGCATTTATGTATTGTTGATATTTAATTCTTCTACTTATTTTTTGTTTTCAAATAAGAATCGTATATTAGACGACTCATTGCACAATCTTCTACGGCCATTCCTAAAAAAAATATGTAATATTTCAATATTACGTAAAACATTCTATAAAAATTAGTCTTCTAAAAATTTAAACTTTTAGACGCCTCTTCATTTTTTTAATCAAAAACAATATTTAAATATTTAATTTAAACAAAATAATTACGATCTTATATTATATTATAAACCAATATATAAAACTGAATTTTATAGCTGTAGGTGACAGGAGGTATATAATAGATAGGGATTTCAATCCCGAAAGGTTTTCATAATCTCGCGATTTTCGAGATTAGTACGACTAATCTCTGAGATTAGACGTATCTATCTACCTACCTACCGAAAATAAAATCTAATAACATATAAAAACTTTTATTTTATTAACTTAAACCACGAAAATTAACAAAAAAACTCAACAACGAACTCAACGAAATGTGTTGTAGGGGAAAGGGGGGAATAATGGCCGCTGGGGTAATGATAGCCATCAAATAATAGAGAGTTATTGCAAGTTCACTCAAGGTCAGTCACTATTAGTTCCGCTCTTATTTTGACATCTGAGCATGCGCAGATCACTAACTTTAATAAAGATTGTGCCTGTCCTTAATAGAGAGATATTGCAAATTTCTATAAAGCCAGCCACTAAACTTTAAATTATAGTTCATCTTTTTTGTTGTCTATAATATTAAAGAGGCATTAGAAATTAAAATTTTAGAAGGTTTAAATGACGATTATATTAAATATTTAATATTAAAAAACTTCTAACGGCGAGCGCATCCGCAAACTATAAAGTCGCCACTACCTGCCGCCCTTAAACATCCACAATTAAGGACAGGCACAATCCTTAATAAAGTCAGTTTTAGAACGTAAACATCTGCGCATGCTCAGATGTCAAAATAAGAGCGGCACTAATAGTGACTGACCTTAAGTAAACTTGCAATAACTCTCTTATTAAGGACAGACACAATCTTTATTAAAGTTAGTGATCTGCGCATACTCAGATGTCAAAATAAGAGCGGCACTAATAGAGACTGACCTTAAGTGAACTTGCAATAACTCTCTATTTACAGTTACGGCCTAATATTATTTCGTGTTTAATACCTATTACGCCATCTATATTTATGTAGTTCATAATATACCCAAATCAATTACGATGCTGTGCCGGTAAAGTAGGAATTTTTGACAATGTCAGATTTTGTTGGTGTTGTTCATAGATTACTAATGTGAATAGATGGGAAACTCAATAGTAAAATTCTGAGTCGATGTGCTGCCATCTATCAAATTGGAGTGGTACTAAAATTCAATATGGCCGCCACGAGCGGGCTTTTTGAAATTTAACTTTGTAGTAGCGCAAAAATGTAATGAAGAAAATCAAATGAAGTAAAAAAATTGGAAAAATATTTGACTAGTTTCAAATCATAAAACAACCATATTGACTGTTTTGCGATTTGAAACTAGTCAAATATTTTGCCAATTTATATCTTTATATGATTTTACTTCATTATATTTTTGCATTAATTTCAAACTTGAAATAAAATGCAATTTATTTTAATTATTTTTTATTACAGTAAATTAACGCCGCATCATATAATTTGTCTATTTAAACATGGAAATACTCAAACAAATATGCATTTACACCATTTAAATAATTAAATATTTATAAAACAAACCTATAAAAAAATGTTTTCTGTAACAAAATCAGCATATATAAGTGCTAAGACCTTTATAAAAGTTGCGACTTGGAGTGGCAAATAAGTTTGAAAAAATTGAACTTGAAACATCATCCTTTTTTACTATGGAGGCAAATTTGAGTGTGGATAAAATTTGGCATACAGTTATTGAGTTGACTAGTTAGGTTGAGGAGCATTTCTTCATCCGATAATTGTTTTCTTGATGTATTTGTATAGCACTTGTAGTTATCAAATTTTTATTCATCATGTGGACATTGTATTTAACTTTTGAGCTTAAATTAAACTTACACACGTTTGGACCCTTGAAGATTTTAGGGTGTTTTCTTGTTTGATGTCAATGGCATTAAATCAATTTTTGATACTGATGGCTGAGGCTCAAATATATCATCGATCGACAGGGTATTTTTGGAGGGCCAACAATTACTTTACAACAATGGTCATTTAAAAACTTAAAACAAAAAAAAATTAAATAACAAACCAATTATTTTAACACTGAATCAAAAACAAGTTTGTAAATATTACTTACCGTTGATAGCAATCAGTGATAGTGCATTTTTCTTAAGACGACTGCATATTTAATGTGGTATAAATTGCATCACTACCAATATCTGGGAGTTCTTTATTGTTTGTTGCTAAAATCCATCTTCTCATCGTTTGAAAACATGCTTAAAATTGGAAGGTGTTGAAAAATAAATCTAGATTCTAGATGAATCAAAATTCAATACACCTTCAAATACAATAGACATTTTAATTTCTCCAAGTTTGAAGTTTTGACACTTTTGACGAGCTGACAACTGACATGACATTTCGATACGAGCGCCATCTCATGTTTTTCCATTTGACTTACCAGCCCCTGGTGTTGATGTATCAGTATCAGATTTTTAAAGGTATGTAGAAGCATGTAATTAAGTTTATTTATCTACATAATTGTTACCCATATGTTACATTTTTAATAAAATTTAAGCATACATAAGAAGTTCTTGCTTTAATTTAAGTGAATAATGACTATGAGTTAATGAGTATAAACATGTATTTTGGGGTTATAATAGCCTCGTAAGTGGAGGTAATACTGGCCGGCCACTATTACCCCCCAAATTATTATTGTATAATACAGAGAGTTTCTTTATAAACTCTTATATTTCGTTCTTTACACAAATTGTACGTATCTAATGTACAGTGGCTACTGCGGTTGTCGGCGATTAGCAAAAATTTGATACCTGATAAAAAGCTTGAATTATCGTTTGTTGATATAATTCCACTACAAGGATGCTCAAAAGATGACTCAGTTAGAAATAAAAGATCCATCCACCATAGCAGCAGAAAGCAACATTCAGAAATAATGACATCAACACCAATGAAGTTACTTCTAGAAGAAAAACAGCGGAAGAAGGAAGAACAAATGAGAAATAAAGTCAAAGGAATAAAACGAAAAATTGACATTGAAGAGTCGATCCCTGTAAAATTCAGTCCGCCTCGAATAGTACCAAAAAGAAATTGCTTAAGAACACAGAAGATCACCGAAAATACATCAACTGAAGATGAGGATGATCGTGATAGCGATGTTAATGAAGATATATGCGCAATTTGTGGTGAATTTGGTGAAAATAGAGAACTGTGAATCCAATGTAGCATTTGTCGCCTATGGGCACACAAAGACTGCGCTAGTTTCGAAGGCAAAATGTACATTTGTGATTTTTGTAATTAATTATTTTTAAATGGGAGTAGTACTGGCAGTGGCCACTTTTACTTCTCGACCGCGGGTAAATATGGTCGGAAAATTTTTTTTATTTGTTTTGTTATAAAATATTTCGTAAATACAGTTTGAAGTATTTAGGTTTGAAGTTTTATTTACCTTAATATTATAAAAATCTAAAGACATGTAACAGTATAAATAAACAAAAATGCTTAGGCGGCCGCCATTCCCCCCTTTCCCCTAAATACCAATCAATAGTAAGTTTTAGGTTTATAATTTTTTTAAGAAATACCGCGAAAAAGTTTCATCTGGCAGCCTCGAAAGTACACATATCGGAAAAGTCTAGGGATATTTTTACAAAATCATAAATGAGATGAAATTAATGTATGTATCGTTCAAATGGTACTTGGAATGTATACAGGGTATTTCCGAACTTGGCGTCCAAATTTGTAGGGGTGGTAGTTCGCATAATTTGAGAGCGATTAGCAGATTTCATTTTTCTAAAAAAATTATAATAAACAAAATAGAGCCATTATAAAAAAAATCAAAGAGCAGGTCCTACTCTGAGCGCGTAGCGCAATAGTCCCAAAAAACAGATGTGATTTGCAATTTTGTCGATTCTAAGCGTAGCGCGCGCGAGTTGAGGCGTCCTATCGGTGTGCAGGACCGTACCTGTTTATAATTTTTAATTAATTTTCAATTATTTTTATTTTAAATATTTTGCAAAAATGAAATCTGCGAATCGGTCTCAAATTATGCGAACTACCACCCCTACAAATTTGGACGCCAAGTTCGAAAACACTATGTATACACTTACGTGCATAGAAATCGGCCCACTGTAAACTTTTGACTTTAAATATATATTTTTTTAAATTATTCATCAGATCAAAAAAATTATGCTGTTTGAAAGACAATTTATTATGCTTTAATGTGAGTATAAATTTATGAAAACTTATTTTGACTTCCTATGTTTAACATAGTGAAATTAATTCATGAAGCAAAAATAAGCTTTTTTTATTATTAACATAAATAGGGTTATTGACAATTTAAAACTTAACACTTAATTTTTTAATAATGGGTATGACCTCCTCTTGCCCTAATAACATCTCTCATACCATCAGGCATAGATCTAATCAAGCTATTATTTCTTGTGGGATGTTAAACCATTCTTCCTCTACTGCAACAATAAGCTTTGGGATCGAGTTTGGGGTAGGAAGTCTAGCTCGAATTCTTCTTTTTGGCTCATCCCATAAATGTTCGATCGGATTTAGGTCAGGACTGTATGCTGGCCACTCCTTAACCCGAAAACCGACTTCTGCAATGTAATATTGCACGATTCTTGCGGTGTGTGGCCTTGAATTGTGTCATGCAGAAAGGTTAATTTGTCTGCAATGTAGTCGACGTAAAATACCACATAAATTATTAAAATCTCCTCGATTAATCTATCTACCGTTAAACCTCTTCTTCCGTGAACACGGTCGCCCCTACGAATGAACACAGGGTCGGTTCGTACTCCTATAGAAATTGCACCCCAGGAACCACCTCCATAAGCACTCCGCTCTTGAAAGCAGAAATCTGCAAATCACTTTCTTGGTCTTCGGTACACTTTCCTTCTTCGGTCGCTACTATGGAGGCATATTCTGGTCTCATCTGAGAACAGAACAGATTCCCATTGTTCCAACGTTCAATTCAGATGATCCCGTGCAAAACGCAGGCGTGCTTGCTGATGAGGTGGAGTAAGTTTTGGACCAATCGCAGGTGTTTTAGGGGTCAGGTTATTTTCCTGCAGTCTTCGTCTTACTGTTCACTGACTAATAGCCATTCCTCGCACCTCACGGAGCTGTCGTTGCACTTGAACGGCATTAAGGTGACGATTTGTTAATGTTGTTGACACAATAAAGCGGTCATCACGAGCGGTTGTAAATCGCCTTCTGCCTGTTCCAGGTCGCCTATGAAAGGTTCCAGTCTTCTCATAACGCTGGCACACTCTTCGAACCGCTGCGCGGGTCATATCCAATTGTCTAGCAACAGCTCGCTGACCAAGTCCATTTTCGATTAAAGCAATAACTATGCAAATTTCAGTTGCAAACGCAATAATTTTAATATTTGACAAATTTGTTATTTTCGTTACAATCACCACATAAACACGTTTCATTTGTTTACCGGTTGCTACGCATATAAACGATAAGCGTTCTTGATAAATTTATACTCACATTAAAGCATATTAAATTGTCTTTCACACAGCATATTTCTTTTTTTCATCTGATGAATAATTTAAAAAAAAGTAAAAAGTTTACACGCAAGTTTATTAATTTAATTCATCACGATAAAAGGTAACCAAAAGTTGAAAAAGTAGAAATTTTAGACTCCGTTAAATTTTATAGTTGTTTTGAATTCAGTTATTCTATAAAAGCCTTGTTGTGTACATAGGTGCATTTAAAATATTGTGTTTTACCATTGAACGACGACATTTATCTTTAGACAAAATAAATCGAGCAGTAAGCCTTCTTGAAGCTGGCATGCGGCAAACTGAAGTAGCTGAATGGATAAGTTATTTCCCAAAGTGTCATAAGTCGATTATAGAACCGCTTTAGGGAAACTGGTAGTCCTGCCGAGCAGCATTCAGGACGTAGACGCTTTATAACTGCAGCTCAAGATATATTTTTAAGTTAAACTGCTAGAAGGCAACCTACAGTTACAGCACCTAAATTATTAGTTTACAAAGGGCGGATAACATAATTATTGGCCGAGATATTGTGAGAAATCGTCTTCATGAAGCCAATCTCTTTAGTTGGCGACCACTCAGATGTCCACTTCTTTCGATGGGCAATCGCGCTACAAGACTGGACTGCTGTGAAAAATATCATAATTGGGCTGTACATGATTGGGCTACAGTTTTATTCACAGACGAATCCAAGTTTGGATTTCATCCAGATTCTCGTCGAACAAGAATGTGGAAACGCTCTGGAAATGTGGAACGTTCAAGACATGTTCAGGAAGTATACAGATATAGAGGTGGTACAATAATTGTATGAGGCGGAATAATTATAGGCGGCAGAACCGAGCTCGTTTTTCCAAATCGTTTCCTAACAGCTCAGGATACTATTCTTTAATCCATCGTGCATCCATTTGCAGGCGCTGTTGGTCAAAACTTTCACTTAATGCAAGATAATACCGCACGTATCATAACAAATTGGTTTAGTAACGAGGGAAGTGAAGTTTTACCATGGTCAGCACAACCTCCGGCCCTAAATCCGATTGAGCAGGGATATATGCTTCAACGTAGAATTATCCCTCCTATGGACAACATTCACAACATATTTCAATTCTGGGAATTTCTAAGAACAGAGTTTACCTCAAAGGGACATTGACAATCTGTCTATGAACAATAATAGATGTAGAGCTGTAATAAACCAACTTTATATTAAACATTTTTTTCCAAGTATTTCCAAAGCTCTATAAATAGTACGTTACACAATATATTTTTTATATAAATCTGTTGGGTTTTTTTTGTACATTTAATTTTCTGTAATATTAAACACTTACTAATACTATATATACAATTTATTAGTATTTCTCTAAATCAAGCCAAGAAAAAAAAATTGTTTTGGCAAAAATATCCATAGATTTTTCCGATGTGATTTCATTACATAAAAATCATGTCGTCATCGATTTATCCCGGATTAGGTATAATCTAACCCCAGTATTTTCGAAACAGGTTTTCCTCCTAGATCCCGGGATTGACATCTCTAATAATAAATGAAGGAGTAAGTAGATTTAATAATAAATAATAACTAAAAAATCAGTCTAAAAACACGAAAACGACACAATTTCGCCAAACGTTATCAGCATTAGGATTCCCATCCTTCAATGCGGCACGTTTTGAGACGCCTATCTTCATTCCACAGAATGCGATTCTTATGTTATGTCTCTTTCTATTCGATTCGTTACATGTTGAGTTCGCACATAAATCCCTGTCCAGAAAATATATTCAAGATTTAAAAATAATGCCCAAAAAATTGTGGATCACACTATAATTACCCAAACTTTGGAAGATTGTAATTCTATTAGGATCCTCGGTTTTCACTTGATTCAAAATAACTTTGCCAACCTCGGCCTTAAACTGTATACCAATCTTTTCCAAACCAGCTAATTCGGTTTTTGCTCCTTCCCAGTGATCAATGTATACATCAGCATTAAAGTACAAACTTTCTTCTATTTCACTATGGTGATTTCTACCAGCACCGACAGCTAAAAAAGATTTCGAGTAATAATTTTAGAATCTCGGCAATTTGTTATTTTGTGCTTGAAGTTGGTAAAATTAAGAATAACACTAGATTATGTTCAAAAGATTTTACAAATGATGATATTGATATGAATCCCGCCGAGAAGAGAAATTTAAAGCTATAAGCAGTTTCTATATCGTCGATTTACAAGCAAAATACACTAAGTCAGTTTTTTATTTTTGACTTATTTACATCATTTTGACTGGATTTCTTCCGCTCTATATACTGGTAAAATCCACGGAAAAATTCACCATACCCTCTAAGATTAATTATAACCTTATTTTAAAGTTATTTTCATATTTATTAAGTCCATGATAGTATTATTTTGTTGAGGAAAAATTTATTAAGTGTCCTAATGGATTTTTCTGACTTAGTGTATTTTGCTTGTAAGCCGACGATATTTTATTTTATTCTCAACCTGGTTCGACTTCAGAAGACAAGTAAGTTACTTATAATCAGTGGCGGCTCGTGGGCACTAGCGGCAGTGAGGCACACACTGGAAAGGAATCCCGGAATTCGTTTTTCCCTTAGGAAAACAAGTTCTCCGCTTAATGAAAATTAAATATATTTCAAAACAATCAGTTGGGGCAATAACGATTTCTGAATGTGACTACAGGGAGCTAAATGTGACCACTCAAAATGCATTTAACTATGTATGTGGCTATTTAATCAAAAAATCATTACATATCCACTCTTGCGAAATTTGCGTAAATTTCTCAGAAGAATGCAATTTACTTAACAATTCTAACTTGTTAATGCATTTTAAAGCATACGACTGTGAAGAAAAGGTGTTTGGCAATTTAAAATCTCTCAGCGAAAAATTTCTCTTTTATATTTTAAAATTTGAAAAAAATATTTATATCTCTATTTGATAGTTTGTCAACTAAGCCTGGAAATTCTTCCAACGCATACCTTTTTGAGATAACAAAATAGAATTTGGTCATCCTTGCCAACAATTTGCGAAAATGTACAACATTAAATTATTTATAAGACTCAGAATTTTTTATACTCTTAAATATGCAAACAGAGATTTGAAATCCTCGAAAAAGTCAGACAAAACCAAAAGAAAAATAAAAATTTGGTCCCATTTATAAATATTATTGATTTTTTTTCATCATATTTTTGACTACTTTATAAAAAAAAAGAAGTTATTTTTCTTTGTAGTTTTATTTCTTAACTATTCCACTGGTCTAACTAACGTTTTTTCGTAATCACAATAAATAACCCAGCAAACATTTTCTATAACAATAGTTATAACTAGACTTTGTTAAAGACGAATTTACTTATTGAGGTAATTATTACGTAAAATTGACTAGCAAAATATACCTCTAATGTAAATTTACCAAATGGTTTTAATTTATATTTAAATTTACGTAAATTATACCAAGAAATCTACCTTTTACACAAATCTGCTTAAAAGTAACTTTAACCATATCAGCAAAGGAAAAACAACTAAAAGAAATAACCAACAATTACTTCAAAGTTAAATTTCCTTTGTAGTAAAATTAGGTGCCATATTTAGGTAATATCTACCTGTTTGACAACTAAAGATCGTCTTTATAGTAGAATATCCAACTAGGTAGATTTGGTTAAAAATTCTACGTAATTTTATGCCTCCATAGTAACCTATTTGGCCGCTTTTATTTACTCTCCTTTAAAGTAATATTAGGTCGAGATCGTAGCAAAATTCTATCTGTTTATCTACCTAATTTCAACCAAATAGTCGAATACTCATTTAGTTGACCTATAAGTCATCTTGAAGAAATATTTATTAACTTTGTTGTAGCAATTACCTGAAAAATCTACCACAAAGTAAATTCGACTAAAAACCACCAATTTAAAAAGAGTCATACATGACCTATTTGTAAAATTTATATTATTTAGGTTATTTAACAATTAGGTTGTTCAGTTACTGTCTTCGTCATTATTCTTAAGAATTTCGGCCACTTTAAAAAACCATTACAGTCGTAATCTTAATTTACGTGTGGTGTAAATAGAGCTTTAAATGAATGCGAAAAATAATTAATAAAATGAGTTCGAAAAATAATAAATCATATCCTTATACTTCCGATTTTTATAAGTGAAACCTCTAAAATCTCAAGTGCAGAACAAAGTGACCTACATATGTTATATTTACCTATAGGTAAATTTTTTATAAAACCTATAAGTTATTATTTCTTTAAATAGGCAAAGTTAACTAATATGTCGTGAAATTGAAGTTAATTCAACTTAGTAAAACGGTATTTGTAAAATTCGTAGATTTCCTTAGTCATAATAACTTTTAGGTCGAATTTGCACAATACGCCATATTTTCTTAACGTAATTGAAGTACGATTCCAAATTTTAAATTTTTAAAATGACCATAACTAAAACATACGAATGAAAATACCGAAAAACGAAACATTATTGATATTATAAAGTGATACACAACAAACGTAACATAGTTTTAGCTCATAATATTATTATTATTTTTTTACACGATCATATTTTTTTCTTATATTTTTTTAATTAAAGAGTATTTTGGAAGGGCATTGTTATTTTTTTAAGTAGAACTGTTAACATGCACGACAAAATTTTCTTCGCATTCATTTCAACAAGCGTGAACTGTATATTCACCGTAATTACATTACATATATTTTTTCACCGACATTTATTTATTTTCAATCTTTCATGTGAATTAGGTATATGTTTTAGTTGTGTTGGTGACTTCTTACAATATTTCTACTTATATATAGATAAAAATACCAAATAAGTATAAAATTTCTTGTCGTACACTTGGAGGCATACGTCATCTGCATATATTTTGGTAGTTTCTACCTAAAGTTAGTTAAATCAACGTCGAATTAACGTTATACTGACGTCAAATTTCCCTAGAGAGGTATTACTAACCAAACGTACTGGACTACTACAATGTGGATTTAGATGTAATTCTACCTATTTTGGTAAATAAAACCAAATTTCGACGTCGTCTTATTCTCCACTTATGTCGAATCCACGTCGAGCCAACGTAAATTTTACTTAATTATGGTTAAATCTAATTTTGCGACCAAATTTATTATATATAATTTAGGTAGTATCGACGTCAAATTACACCAAAATGTTTGCTGGGAAATTATTCTCATGGTCCAACAAACGCGCACCTTCAGCCGAAACCGGCGCGCCTTTGTGAGGGAGCCGGTAAAGATGCCTCTGCGTACATTCATATCTGGTCTAGGACAGCGCCCTGCTTGTGACGTATAATCCATCGCATGTGTTCATCTCTTGTTAAGCGATATTGTCGTTGTCCTTGTTTTTCGCATCATAATGAGAGAGAAAACAACAGAGGCACACATTTACTGTGTCCTGTGCCCATCTTCCTTCGGAATTCTCGGAACGTCTCTCAACGCCCGGTCGTCCAGTGTCGTGCCAACGCGGTTTGCGCTAAATATTAGATAAAATAATAATAGGCATTGAGGAAAATATAAAATATGTAAGTTTTTTTTGTTTATTATACTAGGGCACGTGCCCAAGTGTCCTTACGGGCAAACCGCCACTGCTTATAATATGTATATATAACACATTATTCTTACAGAAACCTGTAAGAGTTCAGAGATAGGTATGCCAAAAATAAATTTAAATGTATTTATGACTTTCTAGTTAGTACTTAATAACTGTTTTAGAAGATATTTTCGAGATATTACATTAAATGATCTAAAATCCAAAAACTTTAAAAACATGTGGTAAGATTAATCCGCAGTGGGTTAATTAGAACAAAAATTTAGATTACTTCAGCAAAGTGTAGAAGTTTGCAATCTACAATGTCTGTCAAGATTATCTCCTGAAATATTTAGGAGACAAAAATTATTCGAGCCAAAGGGCATCAGAAGTAGTCGAGGTTCCTATTTATCTAAGTATTATTAAAATGACAATAATTTAATTAAACTAATTTATTATAAATATCGTTCATTATATTTGAATAAAAACTAGCATAATTTATTAATTTATTTTTTAATAAAGTTAATGTTTCAATTGCATTTTGAAAAACTACTTGATGCGCCAGTAGAGACCCATAACATTTACCCCCTGTTAATTCGTACTGGGAAAATTGCAACCGTCTCTATATTAATACTCAAGAATTTACTTTCCACCCTTATTACGATAACACAGAAAAGAAAATTACAACTTGCTATACTCGTCTGCAGTGACCTGTTAAATAATTTGTAACGGTTGTAACCGTTTTCGTTATTTTGACATCAACATCTCTACACAAATGTCATTTGTCGTTTATGCCTTATGTCAAAAGGGTAATTCATTTCGATCTATATCTGTCATCGAACAAGTTGAATTATTGAATTTTAATTATCTTTTATCTTGAACATCCGATGTACTAATTGTCTTTAATATTTTTAATGACCGTCTGATTTTAAAAAGGTAAGTTTTCTACCGATATTTTGTTGAAAATATATATTTAGTACAAGAAGGTCTAATTAAAATGTCAAATTTGAAACATAACCTCAACATGAAAACATAAGAAATCACATGTTTTATATAATTTTATCTATTATTTTGTTAGGAAAGAGATAATATGCTTTACTATATTTAAATATGTTAAATAAGATTTTTCCTTTTCATATTAATTTTAGCCTCTGTGAAACTATTCAAATAATACTTTAATTTGTTCATTTAATAGTAAAAAACATTATTTGTTTCCTATATACTCTTCCTAATCCCTTTCTTGATATTTTTACCTTTTTCCTTGTAGCCTGGCTGTATCTAGATGGTTCAGTAGAAGTTCTTTAGAAGTTATATCGATGGTTTTATAGAAGTTTTATCGAAAAAGATTGTTTGGAAGAACGTTTAAACTGCATATGTAGAATTATTGAAACTTAGAAGTTTAGTTCCAGCTACAGAAGTTGTTTCAAGTATATCAAGAGGTTTCGTTTAAGTCATCTTAAGAAGTTTATAAGATTTGGGTTTACCTAGGAA